CCGTGTGATCGGGCTGTTTTTATGGGAGCAGTTAAATTATTAATTCCAATTATGGATTAGTTCGACTAGATAGCAGGTATAAGAGATAGAACCTTCTGTTGGTCAACGACACAATGATCTTTCTATGACTAGTAACATGATGACAGTGAGACACCGACGGAGATCAGTACTTAATACTTATTAGTCCAGGATTCAGCTCTACACGTTTGTTTGCCCGATAGTTGAAAGGTAAATTTTTAAATTAAATAGTTTATAGCTCTTCATCATAAATCGTAAAAGTAACTAATAAAATAAATGACCATTCGGTGTGTAAAATGCGATTGCAATTTCAGTATCTCATAACTGAAAAGCCTATCATTTTCTACATTTCAGCTATAGCATAACATACAAGCACAATGTAAACAAAATTTTGCCATTTCGTTGAAGATCATGTGATCGATATCATTTTGTGAATCAAGTCACGATTGATTATTTAACACTGATTAGCACGAAACGGTCGTTATTCAACTGGCCATAATAAAAACAGTATAATTGAAAACTGACTGGAATTTGACATTGAACAGACTAAATTTATAAATGCTTTCAATTTATGACCTTATGAAATAAAGACAAATGATTTTAAAATGTAAACAGAAATGATGGGAAACATTTGTGCCGCTATCACACACTCAATTTGTTCATCGAAACTACAGTAAACACTAATTAGTTATGTTTTTCAGCTAGAATGAAGAGCTTAAAAGTGGTTAATTCTCCACAGAAGTGAGTGCATGACATAAAAACCAAACGTATGATTACACAACATATGACTTCAGTTTTAAATAAAACACTTAAGAGAGACAGATAGATAAGTTATTTCTATCTGTTTGTTAAATACGTTTATTTTGGGATAAGGAGTTTCTAAGTACTTGGGAGTGAGTTCAGTAGTGTACACTAAAAGGACTTGCAAGATTTCTTTCAAATTGACACTTATGATATCAGATAAGTCATCCACTTCAACAAAAACGTTTCAAATCCTCAAGAGATCTATGATTGTTTCAGTTAAGCTGCCAATTGTTTTCTCATTTATATTTTCAATTAACACAGTTACAAATAAAGCTGTGCAATATTTGACTTCTTTGCAGTGAATACAATCAAATTGAGCACAGTAAGTTATTCACCGACCAACAACACTGATATGGATATAATAATTCCATAAAAATAACTAAATACTAACGTTGAAGCATTTGGGCTATTTTATTCATCATTACTCAGTTTTTTCTGTCAGAAAGTCATTTACTTCAACATTGAGGTGAACGTTTAACTTCTAGATCCCGGCTCAATGGTCTAGAGGTCATGTATTAATGAACTTTAGTTTCTTTTTCTCTGAACTATCAACAAAAAGAAATGTCTATAGTATCTTGCTAGTAATTAGATTACTATTTACTATATTAATAATATGTGTAATGTTTCTTTTATAAACAGCTACTGTCTTTGGACTAATCTTTATGAAGATGATAAAAGCACCTAAGCAATGAAATCTTTTCAACTTTTCCTATACAAATGCAGACAATTTTTTTATTAATTGTCTGTTTAAGAGATAGAAGAGACATGATTATCAGCAAAATGCAGTGCATACAAAAAATAAAGGACAATGTGAAGAAATAATAAGGGAACAATGAAAGCACTGAAGTATATGTTAGATGTTAGTTTAAATCAGTTAGAAACAAGGTAATTCTGGAATATCACCAACTTAAACATTAAAAACTACTACTATATATAGTGGCCCGAGATCTGACTCCACGTAGATCGTTTCTGCTTGTCATCAAAATATACATGCCTCCAGTTCTCATATATAATCATCGTCTTAAGTCGCGTTGATGAATAACGGAATCAAATAAGTCAAAAACGGAAATGTATTTTTCAGTACGTATATTTCGTACTATCGCTGATTGGAAAGCGAAGCAACACAAAATACAGATCTAGAATTTGCTCTAACCATAACAATTGTAATCGTCATTCAAAACTTGAAGACATAAGTATGGAATACTAAGGTGAAAGCGATTCTGCTTAAGACTTTTAAACTAATAGACAGGACATAAAAATACCGTCATCTCAGACAAGTATTGCCAAGCAATATTTATTTGTCTGACGTTCAACCTACTGATAGCACTGTCGTGTTGATGACCATATACGTCATATAACTAGTTGATTTACTATTTTAAAATTTACTTCACAATATATATACTATCATCTTGAACATGGAAGTTGAATCCAAAGGTGTAATTTAAAATGTAATTCATCAACATTCCACAATTCTCTTATTTCAAATAATATGAAGTTATAGGCTTACATTATCTAAAGATAATTAGACTTTTAACGTTAGTAACTGTGCTTGAAATTTAAATAGATTATCACTTACTTATTTTGGGTGAATTTTCTAAACATATTAAGTTACACTAAATTACATAGGAATGGAAACAATAAAATGTTTGAATTTTAGTCTGATTTAATAGATTTGTTAAATATTGAATTCTTGATCGTTGTTGAGATCATATTAACGAACTGTTCAACTAAATAAGTACCATCTCATACGATACCATATGACGTTTATTATTTCTATATAGAAATATCTAATCTATGATTTATGTTTTAAAACCATAGTCTAATGAAATACATCTCTATATATCTGTATTTACTTTAATATACGTGGTAATAATGGATCGTATCTATCGAAAAGTAACAAAACAGTATACATGGTTTTGAAGAAAACGTGTTTCATAAAAGGAGCAGAAAGATGATAATAGTTTCATGCATTTGATTCCCCTTTCCATATTTGAACAAAGTAGAAACAACAATATTTGCCGAATACGATAAATTCTTTGCACGTTTTTTACTTTCTGTTCAATTACATGGAAACTAACAGGTTTAATTATTTCCAAATATTAGCAAAGTGTTTACGTTAAACAAAAAGGAATCATTAATAACGAATGTAACTAAACATTTTTTTTAAAAAGAATTTTCAATAGTTGTTTCCATTGGTAGTTCTATAACCATGGAAGAAAGGATTATTGCTAAAATACAATAAAACTATTTTAAGACGTTAAATAAGAAAAAAAAGAGAACATATGAGTTTAACCAACTACGTTAAGATTACAATTAGTTGTAAAAATGTATCAAAATGTATCATTCGTTTATATTACTAAGTTAGTTGGCAGATAAACTTCGTTTTGTTTTCCAAGGTGTCAATCGATTCCTGGAAATATATTCAGTAAAAAAAGTGTTTGTTTTTCAAAATCAGATGATTTATTTGTGAGACTTTGATTCTCATCATTATCATCATAAACTATGTTTACTCTGTCTAAACAAACTATGAAAGTTTCACTATTGAACCATCATTTTCAAAGAATGAAATATTACATAAGAAAAGTCAGTTATTTATTAAATACTTTGATAAAGATAAATTTGATGATCTTTGTAGTAATTCACAATGTTAACAGCTTCTAATACAGTAATCATGTGAGCATTAAATTGAAATATATTTAATCACTTTAGAACTTTATAGTTGATTATTTTTTTAAATTTATGAACTTAAATAACATTTAAACATTTTCTTCGAGTTATCAAATGATCACGTTCATAAATTCTATCTCAATCAGTTACAATTTTATTTAAACATCTAAAAAAAGAACCAACCTTCATAACGAATAGACGAAAATAAATTCATGAAACATGTTGACATTATTCACAAAAATAATAAACCCTTGTTTTTTTTAAGTCCTAAACTCGTGAAAACAATAGTCGGAGAGGGGTTTTGTGGAGATCGTAGTAATTTAGTAATTGAATTCATGAGTCAATTGAAGCTAGACCATCATAGAAAACCTAAAAGCGCTGGACGGCCGTTACGTCTTATTGTGAGACTCCTCAGCAGTGCACATCCACGACCCTTCCTTGCGAGATTCAAATCCAGGACTTATCAGTCTCACGCGCGAACGAATCTCGCGGGGCGGGATCGTAAATGCACACCGCTGAGAAATCCCGTGCTAGGATAAAACAACCGTCCGGTTCTTCTAGGTTTCCCACGGTGGTCTAGCTTCAATTATTGATCGTTTTGATAAAACTCATCTCTACGACATTCTGCTGGGTTAATCGATATTAAACAAGTACATTATACTTTATTACTTTTTAAAAATATGAAACTATATTTTTCGATGAATATTACTAACTAAATATTTAAATAAATTTATGTCTTTGAAGAGCAGTAAACTACTGAAACATTGAAAACCAACAAAGATCCTATAATGATCATGATAACATCTCTTAGAAGACAAAATTATTTTTATTACTGCGGATAGGTATCAATAAAGAAATACACTAAATATACGATTGCTAATAATATCTACTGGTCAATAAACCATTTGTAAAATTTTCATAATATTGAACTAATATAATTTAATGATCAGTGCCTTAGTGACAAGGTTTACAAGAACATAATAATAATCACTGGCTATAAATTACCACGTAAATGTATATGACATTTCATTTATCTAAAAATCAATATAGAATTGTGACATTCAACAAAATCTTGAAAAATAAGAAAACAAAACTGATATTGTACAACTAAATTAAAACAAATGTTCATCAGGATATACATTTTCTACCAAATCTTGCGAATTGATTTTGATGAATCAGCCATTGAAAATCAGGAAAAATTTAATAACTGTCTCATTTCAGTACGAAACAGGTTAGCTGTTAAGACTCATGTACACCACTGGGGAACAGACTCAAGATCTTCAACACTCATGTTAAGTGAATTACTTTTAGGCCACTGTGTTGAGATCTTGTAAGTTATACTTATGATCTCAGTCAATTTTAAGATATTGCTAAATCATCATCCCGGATTTTCAGTTTGTTCTAACTGAATAATCTACACAAATCTCCATTGTTTATGGTTTTAGAAAATGATTTATTACATAAAGGAGTAAATTATTTTTAAATAGATAATATTCTCCAATAACACTTACCTTCATCTAGATCTCCTCGTGCAGCAGCTTCTAAAAATATTAAACTTTGAGGAAATTTTACAACTCTATTAGAATTATAATGTCTTCTATCATTTAATGGAGACAATCCCTTTTTTTGTAATTTTTCTGATTCTTTTTGCATTTTTTTATCATAAATTTGCCATTCTTTTAATTGATTTGCACGTTCTTTACGTGCATTTTTAATACGTTTCATATCAGGTACACGTAGACCAGGTAAATCAATATCATCTGTAATATTTATTGTTGTATTTTCAATTGATCCATTTAAATTATCCATTATATTTTAATTTATTCAAATAATTTATTGTATAAAGTGGAAAAAAACCGTAGACGAAAATTCGCAAAATTTCAGTCTTTGATTTTTTTTTCAAAAAATATTTTTTTTGTTTTATATCTAAAATAAAAAATTAAAACAAAAAAATTATTCTTTTAATAAAAAAATTTTTTCAAGATGGTAATAAGAATTTCATTAATAACTTTTTATTAAATGGTTGTGTACAGATTTATATTTATTAACCCGATTAATTCATTTGATCATATTTTAGTTGAGGGTACAATGAAATAGTAGCGGTGAGACTCTAATTTATGGACGACCTTTGAACGAATTTTAAGTGACCTTGAGAATATTAGTCAATCAGAAAACAGTTAGTATAGAGTAAAAATATATTATAGAAAACCAAGAAAATAAAGTACATACACTTCTTATACGTCGTTCAAAAACTTGTCAAAGTTAGAAAGAGGTTCAGTGGTTGTAAAATCGTAATGCATGCAGTAGAGTAAATCATCCATACGGCTACAGAATAGTCGACATCTGGAGCCATAATAAAGTCTCAAAAACTCTCTCAGCCTCGACCACATAGCTTCAATATTGTTTATGTGCACTCCGGTTGTTGAGTGCACAAAATGCTACTTGTGAATAACGACACGATGCATGCTCTCCAAACATCCGTATATATTGTAGTATCTGGTTGCAGCCAGTGTGACTGGTGCTTTTATTATCCAGTTCGCAATAATTGTCATAATTTGCCTCAGTTAGGAATTATATATGGGGTTTTCATCACGAACTGACATCAGCTATAATGCCAGAATTTTATTTAGCCGAATGGATGAAAGGGTTTCACGTTAAAATCCGAGGTCTGTTATCTTATACTTGATTGATTCGTCCGCAAATTGTAGTTTCGCCGTTTCATTTGTTATAGCCGCTCAATTATCCCGTTTTGTACAAAATTCCTTGTGAACCCATCGTACGTTAGCATCAAGCACTGAAGTTGGCGCCGTAACCTTGAAATCTCTAAAACGCCTCTGATTGGCCCGTCCATAAATCAGAGTCTCGCCATAGTAGCTATATGGTAACCGTTAAATATATAAGAATTATAAATATAAATATATATATATAACGCTTATTAGAGTAATTTATTTAAACAAAATATGTTACGTAAACGAATTATTTAACAGATCCTGAGCGACAAATATATATCAGTCATTATTTGTTTTTTCATGAAGAAGTCCTGATAAATTCTAGTTACTGAGATTAGTTCAAATATAATAAAACATTATGTAATATAAAACATTAAGTGACTCAATATTGTTTCAACGATATATGGTATTAAATCAATCCCTTATTCGTAAAATATGTTACAGTTATCTGATCTGTTATAAGTTTCATTTATCATAAATTTTCTATTTTTTCAACTAAAATGAAAATTTATTTTCTATGCTTTTCTGTAATCCATGAATTTTAGAATAATTAATCTGAAGACAGTTATGCTATACAGAGCTGAAACTTCGAGAACTAAAACAGTCGTCATCGAAAATGTACAAGCATTTATAAACAGTTTTCGACATAAGACACTCAATGTCTGTTGGTCGGAAACCATCAGAAACAGCCTACTATAGGAGAAAACAAATTATCTTCCTGCTGAAGAAGAAATTAGTAAGACGTTAGATGTGGATAGAATATACATTAAGGGAATCACCAAACTGCATCATGAGGCAAGCGCTAACTTGGAATCCTAGAGCGGAAGGAAAACATGAAGACTAAAGAACACACTGAGTCGAGAATTGGCAGTTGACATGAAAAGAATAAATAGAAACTAAAAACAACTAAAAAAGATCGCTCAGAACAAAGTCCAATAGAGAATACTGGTGGATGGGGGTGACAGGCGTAAGTACGCAAGTAAGTAATCATAGCAAAGTAGGAAAAGCTAGTATAATACAATCGAGTAAAATATTTTGTGAAAAAACAATCTATTAATTAAATCATTATGTTAATTTCACGATATTTTCTGGTGATCTTTTCGAATTGGTAGTCTAATTGACCGAAATTGGATAACAACCAAAATCATGGTTCAAAATCAACTATAATAAAATACGTATATATATTCTACAAAAAATTTTCATGTTCTATTAAGAGTGAAATTTATTGAAAACTAATTGAAGTTTATTATTATTGATGATGATCAAGTAATTTTTTTAAACTTATGAATTTCATGTTATCTATCTCAAGCTACTGATCTATACTGAACATTCAAATCGGTTAAAATGTAGACAGGTTGACAAAAGATAATACGTTATTTACTTAAGTATGTAAGACATTACCGACTTATGATGAGTGTCATACTGACGAGTTCGATAATATTTACTTTAACTTTTTTTAGTTAAGAAAAATCAACGGGCAATGAGCTCAAACGATATATATGAAAATAAGTCACATTGATAAGTATTGTATGCTTATTCGTTCGGTATACTTTTTTCAATATATATATATATATATATATATATATATATATATATATATATATATATATATATATATATATATATATATATATATACAAAGAGAGAGAGAGAGGAAAGGGAAGGGGAAATTTCGTATTTTCTCTGATAAGCACTGATAAGCACTATCGCAACAACAAGCAGGAAATGTGATCTTAATACCTATCTTTCTCCATATAAAACGAACTAGTATTTGAGGATTTCCATTTAATTCAACCATATGTATATATTTATATTGTAAAAGGAAGTTACGATCGAGCTACCACTGTAATAGTCATTTTTCTGAGCATTTGTAATGAATGAAAGACAAAACTCGGAGAAGACGAAATAGTTAAATCTGTAACTTGTTGGTTGATGTGGACCACTTAAACAGTATGACAAGTATTGAAAAACGTGTAAACGAGTTATAGCTTCTAGTATGGTCTTTACAGAATAAAACAAATTAAAACCTGGAATTTATAAATGTTGAAATTCACTCGATACAGTATATAAAAGGATCTATAGAGAGATTTGAGAGTATTTTATCGTTTACTACCTGTCAAAAATACTGGGATCCTTCGATAATTCTTTGATAATGTCTTCAGAAGCCTGGGAAAATCTGAGAATATATCGTCCAATTAGCACACAGCATGAAAAATTCTAGAACACTGATGGAATATCTGTCACATTGCGATTGGGTGATTACTTATTAGAATACAAAATTTAGCATAGATTCACAAGTTTCCGGGGAAAAATTGTTATTTTCAACCGGAAAATACTATTGTTTTCTGTACAGAAATGCAATATGAATTAAAGGTTCCGTTCCTACTTTACGCTTTTTCTCTACTCTTAGAAATCCATTGAAGGAGCAGTCATCATCGAGTGTTTGAGTAGCAGAAATATTTTAAGCAAGAGGAAATTTGTCGTTACAATTGTTCAAATAGATTAATACCTGATCATCCTCTAGCATAAACCTACAATCAGTGATCAGTGAAATGAAACTTTATAGACTAACTAATTAGTCATTAGAAAACCATCAAGTAGATGCTTTTCAATCCACAAAATGTCTGTTCTTCACTACAGAATACCAATTAGCATTACTGAATATTTGAAACACTCTAATGAATTTTTTCGATTTAAAATTCTTATAGTTCAAGTGTACAGTTGAACTCATCACAATGTATTTTGCCTAACATTTATTAGACGATAAGATGATTGTTCACTATTTTACTTTACAACAATAAACTACATTTTCTATATGTCTACAAAAACTTTATTCTCAGTAAGCCTACCCAGTGATAACATATATATTAGAAGTATTATCAAGAAATTGCCTAATCATATATTCACGTTAATCTCATCCAAAAACCAATCAAATAAACATTTGTATAAACCGAAAAAAAGCAAACAGCAAATAAGTAAATGACAATAGCACATATAAGAGATAGGGGAATTAGAAGAAGTGGGTACTATTGGTGATATTATTATCTGTATTGAATATAGTATCGATAGAATAGAATTGAAATTTTTTCAGATGTTAGACAAACTACATCAAATAAAAATACTACTACTACTATCACCAGTAATAGGAACAGTGACAAAATCGGTAGTTGGAAATGCTCAAGAACAATATTTTTATTTTAATAAAAGATAACAAGAATTAATGATGATATTAACTGTCATACTACTTCATCTGATGATTGCAGGAATAAGAAAAATCAATTAGCAATTTATTCATTAAGTTTGTTTTAACTAGAGAAAGTTAGATAATTGAAAGTAGTACATATAGTTGTAGTAATCATATTTGCGCCAATATATATATATATATATATATATATATATATCATATTTGCGCCAATATATATATATATCATATATATATATATATATATATATATATATATATATATATATATATATATATATATATATATATATATATATATATATATATATATGGTATGTATAACCTGAATAGACTCTTGAATTGCTTTTATTCACAACATTTACCGATAAAGTGGTTATCATTAAAATTAAAACACTGATCTACAATTGAATAAATGAAACTACCTCTATTCAAGCATAATAAGTGTCCTAATCTGACCTAACTGTCAAAGGGATAATCATGATCCAAAAAATATTTTTAATTTCTCATTAAATTATAAGGCTAACCCATAAATCATGGTATATATATATATAAATGATTGTGGTGAAGTAATAATAAAGTACCAAGTTATAAATAAGTTTGATTTTATAAATAAACGTAACTTCTCTAAGGTATATGTAATGAACAAGTGATTTTTTTATAAATTACATCTTTTAAACATGAGGTGATATCATATTGTCATTTGTTTATGTTAAAAATGTCAATATCATTTACATCAGATTGCACTGAAAGCAGAAAGTTGAAATGTCAGTTCCTTTTTTTTTCTTGACCAATGAACATCTAAAACTCATGAAACAAATTATGTTTATTGCTTAGTTCATTAACTTAATATTGGTGAAATCAATGATTTTAACATA